GGGGCGGGCGGTGGGCGTGGCACCGGGCGTGGCACCGGCACTGGGCGGGGCACTGGGCGTGGCACCGGCACTGGGCGTGGCCCGCGGCCCGGCGGGCCCGGCAATATCCCGCCGGTAAAACTATCACAAACCCCGGTTCACCCTGAGATAGAATAGATTTATTAGCAAGAGGTAATCAGGAAACATATATTTTTACAAAAAAAATGGAAATATCTTTTTTTTTTTTTTTCCCAAACAAGCTGTAAGTTGAAATAGTTTTAGGGCTTGAAAGAGAATTCCCATACCACGAGGTATTGCTTACAGCAAGTGTTGTGTGAGTGGAGCATGCCTGCCACTGCCGGGGAACCGTGTCGGGGACTGTACAATGTAAAAAAACCCAGGTACTATTCACAGAATAAGCACTACATTACTATATCCTGCTAGGGTGGTTAGCCAGGATTACAGTAGATGTAATAAAAACACTCGTCATCTCTAACTCTACGTCATGGTACTCAGAGTGGGCACAAGGGTACGGATCTACAGCATATCAACAGGAGCCGGATGCAGCGAGGAGAGGCGAGGGGATGCTTCCATCTTCCCAGCTTCGGAGGGACCAGGGCAGCAGCCAGGGCCCCCCGTGCCCGGCCAGCACCAGGGTGGCACACACAGAGAGGGCAGCTCACACCGAGCGACAACCTTTAATGCGCTCCCTTCTCCCACCTTACAGAGTTGGGATGTAACCGCCAGCACTGTCCGAGCGAGAGCTGCTGTGTGCTGCCCCTGAGCCCCCGGGGACACAGGGCTCACCTGCCCCGTGGGGACACAGGGCTCACCTGCCCCGCGGGGACACAGGGACTCACCTGCCCCACAGGGACACAGGGACACACCTGTCCCGCAAGGACACAGGGCTCACCTGCCCCGCGGGGACACAGGGACTCACCTGCCCCATGGGGACACAGGGACACACCTGTGCCATGGGGACACAGGGCTCACCTGCCCCACAGGGACTCACCTGCCCCATGGGGACACGGGGACACAGGGCTCACCTGCCCCACAGGGACTCACCTACCCCGTGGGGACTCACCTGCCCGACCACCAGCCCCCCAGGAGGAACAAATGACAAAAGTAACATCATGGAAAAGAACCCGGGACTCCAGCGAAGTGTCGGCGCGTTAACCGTGACGGGGCGGGGAATCCTACGCGAGCGCGGCCGGGGCGGGGGCCGGGGGAGCACAGACGGGGGTCGCTCCGGGAGCGGGGCTATGTACAGGGGTACAGCGAGTGTCCGGCGGCCGCGCCGCTCACGAAGGCAGCTTGGGCTCTATCCGCAGAGAAGCTTCGTACAGGGACTCCTCGTCCATCACGCACGACTGGTCCAGCAGGTACTGCGTCACCTGGGGACGGAGCGGGCCGGGAGGGGCTCAGCCTGGCAGCGGGGCACCCGCACCCTGCCAGCCCGCTCTGACAGCGGTCAGCTGCTCTCGTGCGGGGCAGAGGCCAGCCGCTGCTGGAGCGGGGCGGCACGGCAGCCCTGCTCCCTGGGGAGGGCGTGCTGCCCCTCCATCGCTGCTTCTCAGCCTGTGCGGTGCACCCTCGAGCACCCCCTCTGCAGCAAGGGCTCTGCTGCAGCTGCCTGGGGACCACGGGGGGAGCCTGCTGGAGCCCCCAAGCCTCCCTCCTTCCCCCGACCCCTCCAACAGGCTCCAGCATGGAGCTGCCAGGCACTGAAGGTGTAGATGCTGTGATGAAGAGGGAGATGAGGGCAGAGCCTGCCCGTGGCTCTGGGGACAAGGCTGTACCTTGGGCTGGTGCTCGATCTTGTAGGAGGTTTGCTGGAACTGGCGGATCTCCCTTATGATGTGTGAGATCTGTGCAGGGATAAAACACAGGAGGTGCTCATGGCTCAGCCATCACGCAGAGAACCCAGCCCAGGGCCCAGGAGGGCAGGGGCACCCAGCACAGCACGGTGCAGAGGCCTTTTTGTCCCTTGCAGACACGGGGAACAAGCCCAGCTGTGTGCAGGGGACACATGTGGCCTCCTGGTGCTGTGCAGAAGGCTCAGGGCACACAGAGCTGGCCACAAGCACATCAGCCCAGCCCCTGTGCCCATGCCAGGGGGCTGGAGCACTCACCATCCTCATTTTGGAGAAGTTCACCAGGCCATCCTCGGTGTAGTTCGGGGTGCCCTCCTCGATGAACGCCAGGTCCGTCAGGTACATGCCCAGGTAGGGGACACACGGGGGGTCACAACTTCAGGAGTGAACCAGAAAGAAATCAGGAATAAAACTTTCTTACCTTGGAGCTTAGGGCATGGTAGAGGAGAAGGGGACAGCTCTGCAGTCAGCAGGGTTGGAAGGATTCTCTCTGATATAGGACAGAGGAGAAGGGGACAGCTCTGCAGTCAGTAGAGCTGGAAGGATTCTCTCTAGTATATGAGAGCTCTCCCAGGGAAGGCTCCTGGTCTGCTGGGCCTCATCCCCAGCAGCACAGCAGGACAGGCAGGACCTGTGGCTGTGGCCCTCACAAAGCCACGGGATGCAGGAGATGAGCTGGGGGCAGCTTTGACAGCACAGAGGGTCAGACAGACCTTTAGAAGCTTCCATGGACAGCCTGGTCTAGTGGAAGGGGGCCCTGCCCACAGAGAGGAAGGGAACAAGATGAGCTTTACAGTCCCTTCCAACCTAAACCACTCTGGGATTTGACGATTCTATGATAGTGATGGGGAAAATTGTTCTCTGGCGTCTGGCAGTGATTTTTCCCTTTGCAGTCCCTTTTATTCCCATCTTTCCACAAGCTGCACAAAGGAGCAGCTCAGTCCTGGGGATCACTCTGCCAGCCACTGTGCTGCTCCACAGGACACCCTTCAGTGCAGGCTCTGAACGATCCTGGGAGCAGAGCTCAGGTCCCCCACCTTGCAGGCCCCAGAGCGGCCGTGGGGCAGGAGGAGAAGCACCCTCCACTCACTTTTTCAGTGCCTCCCTCAGGTTCTTGAACCTGCCCTCCGACGACACCAGCTTCTGGAGCTTATCAATCAGAGCCTTCGTCTGCAAGAAACCAGAGTGCTGCTGGGAGGGGCCCTGGAAGAACCCCCATTCCTGGGGCTGGGGGGCAGCCTGCCGAGCCACGGGGGCACGTCCAGCCCGCCCTGCCCAGGGACATCACCCACGGACTGTTCCTGCAGCCCCACAGTGCAGTGTGCCCTGGCTGTCACACCTGGCTGCAGGGGAGCAGGCTGTGCACTCGCTGCCTCCCCCTGCTCCCACCTCTGCCCTCGCCTGTTTTCATTCACAGGTTTTTATCATTTTATAGCAAAAACGACTGCTCCTGGCTGGTGGGAGCCCACAGTGGTGCCAGCTCAGAGAGCTTTAACTGGGTGAGGCCAGTGTCTTCTCACAGGTAACAAGTGACAGGACGAGGGGAAAGGAGTTGTGCCAGAAGAGGTTTAGATTGAATATTGGGAAAATTTCTTAATGGCTGTCCAGGCCTGGCACAGCTGCCCAGGGCAGTGGTGGAGTCAGTGCAGGGATTGTAGGATATGTGGATGTGGCACTTGGGGACATGGGTTGGTGGTGGCCTTGGCAGTGCTGAGGGAACAGCTGGACTTGCACGGTCTCAGAGAGCTTTTCTAACCCAAAATTCCTTGGATAATCCCAACTCCAAGGCAGGGTCTGCCTGTCCACACACCACTCCCTCCCGAGAACAACCTGAAACCCCTTTCCCCGTTTTCTCACTCTTTTTCAACACACCTCATCCCGCCCCAACACCCCCCGGCAAAGCCTCCTCCCCGGGAGGGGCCACCCCTACCTGCTTGGAGACCTTGAGCCAGGTTTTCTTGAGGCGGAAGATGGCACTGCGGTTGAGGGAGGAGGTGATCTCCAGCACGGCGTTGTAGTTGTGCAGGCAGCGGCAGATGTCGGCCACCGCCACCCACTTCTCGATGGCGCTGACGCGCGCGTTGATCTCCTCGTTGCGGATGATCTCCGACGCGATCAGGTTGCTGACCTTGGGGACACGCGGCCCCCGGCCCGGCCTTTAGCGTGGGTTTGGGCACACCAGCCTCACGGCGGGTTTTGGATCCCCCCGTGCGGCTGCGGCCCCACGAGGAGCAGCTGCAGCAGGACTGGCTCCACCCGCACGGGCTCCCCGGGGCAGGCAGGGCCCGTGGGGCAGGGGACCCCCCACACCCCAGCCCTGGGGAGGGGGCTGAGCTGCCTCCCCTGTGCCCTTCCCCCAGTGCCCATCCTGCAGCTGCACCTACATCGTTGAAGTGCTTTGTGTTCTTCATGATGTACGGAGTCCTCTCGTTCTTCTCCAGCTTCATCCAGCCTTGCCCAAAGAATTCCCTGCGAACCACAGCGCTCAGGTCAGCTTTTATTTCCCAGTTTTGTGGGATGTCCTAGCCCTGCAAGCTCCACTGCATCTGCACAGGATGGAGATCCCAGGGTCTTTGCCCTCACGCTGCTGAAGGGACCACGTGGATTTGCTGAACGTGTGATGGTTGTGGGAGGGTCTCCCTGAGCCGCTTACCTTGGGACACCCCAGAAGAGCAGAGAAGCCACAGGGCTCCCAGTCTGCGCTTGAGCCAAGTCTGGGCTACTGGCAAAGCCCAGGAAGGCTTTGCACTCTCTGGGCTCAGCCCAGCCAGGCTGCCCGCGGGGCCCTGGGTGACCAGAGCCACCTTTCCTGACCCATGGGCATCACTCACTCGTATGGGATCTTCTTGAAGACCAGGTGATCCAGCAGCGTCAGCTGTTCTGCGATCTCCAGGGCTGAATGGTTTTCAAAGGGCTCTGCTTTGACCCCCTCAGCCTGCAGGACAGAGGAACAGTGGGGCTCTCCAGGCAGGAGCACAGTGACAGCCCCCACACACCGTGGGCACAAACCCAAAGCCAAGCCGGGCTCCCAAGCCAAGGCTTTTCCCCAGCAGGGCTGGAGTGTGCTGTGCCAGAGGCACCCCAGCCACACCGTGCCCGTGCCGAGCTCCTGCCAGCCTCG